TATTGGTCTGAAACGCCGATGCGTTCAAGTGATGGGACGTCGAGTTCGCCGACTCTATCTTATCCCTAATGTTAGCGATCTCTTGGGTTAAACTGCGAACTCGTTTAGTGCGCGAACCGCCGGACTTTTGAGTTTTAGCCGCCGATAAGTGTTGTTCTAATTCCTTGAGTTTGCATTCGAGTTGTTTTCGTTCGGATACACAACTGGTGTTCCCATTGACAGAGATTTGTATCTCGTTTTCTGTCGGATGCAAATGGAGTCCAGTATTGGTATTATATAATTGTGACAACTTTTTGGCCTCTTTCAAGAGATGGTCGGTTTGGTCGTTGAGTTTGAGAGCGGCCTTATGCCACATCGTCTCACGTGTGTTATATTCAGTACAGTTCGCTATTATGAGTCGGAAGTCGGAGACAAACGACTCGAAACAATTGTATGCATTGCTGTGAATCTTGGCTCTGATTGTACTGAAATCCATAGGCGTTTTAATGAACTCCAAATAGTCGGGCACATCGTCTACGCTCACGGGTTCTGAGAAATACTTATTCGTGTCCTTCTCTTCGAGTCGTGTCAATACATTCAATAGAAATAATTTATAGGGATTTAACTGCAACTCTACAGTGCTTTGTCTATATCTAAGGTATTCGCGCTTCAATTTCTCGCGCTTTCGGATCAATTCGACTAAAAGCCTCACTCTTTCCAAGTCTTGTCTCAATCGGTTGACTGTCTTTAACTGTTCCCTGATTTTGATCACATGTTCGTCGTCTCCGTCTTTATGTGAGCCGTCTTTGCGGAGACTGTTGTGAGAGATTTGAATGAATATGAGTTAAACATGTGATTGTTTTGTGCAGATATTTCTTTTGGACATCTTCTCAGACGAGACGGAATACACTGAGGATGAGTTGTTCACCAAAAGGCAAAACGCGAGACACGTTTGCGTAGCGCTGAAGCGTTACTATGAGGCACACCTTCTCGTCGAAGCGGAGATACTTCGCCGAAATACCGCCGCTTTTTCCACCTTCGAGTCCAACCTCAAGGGACAGGTGGACACCAATGTTCCGCCCTATAAGTCGACCCGTTATAGCTATGATGTGATTATGGAAAAGGTTGAGACACTACTCGAACTGATGCCCATTAGAATCAATTGGAAACCAGTGGACGAACTCTTGAAATTAAGTGGAGTTAAGCTTTTGATTCAACTCATTGCCGTCTCCTATGACTGGAATTTTACCGGAAAGTATGGCAATCATTATTATGGATACATTTGAACTGTATTTGACTAACTCTTTGTTTGTTTGCCGTTAGGGCTGAGGCTGTGAGGAGTGCATTGGATGTGTTGGTCGTGTGCAGCGTTACGCCTAAGTTCCAGAACGTGTTGTGCGAAAACGTTCCCGTCGGCGAAGACAACCAAAACACTGTTGGCATTAGGTATTAGTGTTAACACAATATACCATAACTTCAGTCATTAATTGAGTTTTGAAATGAATTGCAGAATCATATTAGCGGCAGCCGAAGGAGAGATAGTGGCCGACCCCGACTGCCAGCGCTCTGCTCTCAACGTTATAATAAACTGTGTTTGCGGGCCATTGAGTCGAATCGGCGGCTCTATTGCCAGACTTTGTGGCGGAAGTGCGAAGAAGAGGTCGTTTAGGAGTGGAGAGGATTTGTTGACGAAAATGTGGAATTGTGTCCGAAGTAATAATGGGATTATGATTTTGTTGAATCTAATGATGGTTAAGACACCCATCACTGACGCCGACTCTATACGAGCCCTTAGTTGTAAAGCTTTGTGCGGATTGGCCCGAAGCGAAACTGTGAGACAAATCATTTCAAAACTGCCACTCTTTACAAACGGACAGATCCAGGGATTGATGAAAGAACCCATTCTTCAGGACAAGAGAACAGAACACATAAAGTTCTGTAAATATTGTATTGAACTTATCGAGAGAGTGACCGGCGCTCCCGTCGCCACCAATTTGGAGACTTCTATCGCTAACATCAATAAAGTGAGTGATATTTGTTGTATAGTTTTTCAAGTAATTATTAATTAATTATAATTAAACTTTGAATGAAAGGCCGAAGTGGTCGCACAGACAAGGATTGAGTTCAACGAAAAAGAGTTATTACAACTAATATATCATCACTTAATGAAAAAGGGATTATCAAAAACGGCTCAATTACTCCATACGGAGGCAGAACTGCCGTCATTTAGTTCGTCCAGAAATGCCATTAGTTTGTGGCCAATAACACCCCTTTCCCACAATCGAGTGGTAAGTTTGCAATGTTTACGATATATTTCTATATTTATAACTGTTTGCCTTCAGTCGCGTCCAATATCGACGGCTCCCTTTCCAAGTTCTTTGTCCAACGCGACCGCAATCAGCTGTTTAACGCCCACATCAACGAGTGCTTTGACTCCAGTCCACACAAACAATATGTCGTCGCCGTCTAGTCTCCAGAATGTCAACTCCCAGTCCCCGAGTGTTTCCATTCGCATACATCGACCCAATCCTAACAAGAGTTCGGCTAAAAGCCTAAGTGTCAGAAAACTTCAGTCAACACATCCGTCGTCTCCTGTAATCAAACGGCTAAACGAAATTTCAAGTCAAACGCAAAATGTGTCGTCTATTTCATTGGACTCAATAGTAACCGAATATCTGCGTAAACAACACTCGCTTTGCAAGAATCCAGTCATTACTTGTCCACCATTTGATTTGTTTACTCCTCATCGATGTCCCGAACCAATGCTTAGGGATTCGGCGCCAATCAATATGACTACACGTCTTCAAAGGCGTTCAATATTTCCTCGTTTCGGAGGTCTGAACGGCTCTAAAATGGACCGTAAATTCATTTACAGCCGCTTTCGACCGATTCGCTCCTTCAGAGACCCGGAATCGACCAGCAGTTTCTCGAGCTGTGCTTTTTCGGTATGTTTTACTATTATTTCAATTGATGTGATTATTAATGATATGCTGTGCCAGTATGTGGACCAATTCCTCTTCTTGGGCACATTGACCGGAGATTTGGCCGCTTTTAATCTCCACAGCGGAACAGTTAGTATTGCATATGAAAGTTGTTGTTGTTTTATATTGAAATGTTATGTTCTAATCAATAGTTGGAAGCGACCTATACTTGTCACGAGTCGGAGATCACTCACATCGAGCCCTCACGAGTAAGCCTTTAAGATATTACTTGTATAATGAATAGTGTTTTCTCTAATAATTGTTGTATATCTTAAAGGACGGCAAACTGATACTCACATCTTCTTTATGGCGCCAACCGTTGTCCTCGTTATGGACTTTCACTGATGTCTTCGAATTAAAGTAAATAATCTTAATTTGACTCCAGATATGAATTAAAAATAAATTATTTTTAAAAACTTTATAGACATTCGTTTCGCGACGACTATTACGTAGAGTTTGGTAAACAAAGTCAGGACCGAGTGTTGGGAACAAAGGACTTTACTGCTCACGTAAGCACTTATTCTGCTAAACCTTTTGAAAAGCCGTCTAATGTCTTGTGTCCGCCAGTTGTATGACTTACCGACGGGTCAAATGATTCATACATATCAAGACGAGAACCTATCGAATCGATACGTCAAAAATAGGGCCACTTTTCATCCGACCGATGATCTCATACTGAATGATGGCGTCCTTTGGGACACTCGGAGCGCAACTCCTGTCCATAAATTTGATAAATTCAATCAACATATTAATGGAGTCTTTCATCCGAACGGTCAGGAAATTCTTTCCAATTCTGAGATCGTAAGTCATTTCATCGATTGTCATCTGTTTTAAGCAATTAATTGATAATTGACTCTCGATTTAGTGGGACATCAAAACATTCCATCTCTTGAAAACAGTGCCGGCATTGGATCAGGTAATCATCTCTCAGTTGTACTTTATTCGCTCGTTTCTAATCTATAAATTGTTTCATATTTAGTGTCGAATTAAATTCAATAATATCGGAGATGTTATATACGGAGGTATTTGTGATTATAAATGTTTTTATGAACCAAATAACTGATTAAATGTTTTCAATGAAAAGCTGTGTTCGAAGAGGAGAACTCTGAAGAAGACGATCAGTCAAAGAGTCCGTTCTGTTCGTCGTTCCGCACATTCGATGCCTACGACTACACAAATATAGCGACCATTGATGTGAAGCGAAACATCTATGACTTGGCTGTAGATCCGGGCGATTGCTATATAGCTCTGGTCGAGAATCAGAGCAATCGGGAAGTGTTTGCCAATGAGTCGGTCGCCCGACTCTTCGAGATCGGGAGGTCTAAGGAAGACGACGACGAAGAGGACGATGAGGACGACGACGAAGACGAGAACGATGTCGCCGATGAAGACACCGATGAGGACGAGAATTTGGACAACACTGAGGACTTTGATCTGGAAAATGGCGACGAGTCGGCCGATGATGAGAGCGACGGCGATCACAGCAATGACTCGGATTCGGGCGATTCCGATGGTTTGGACGACGCGATGCTTATGCTGTCCGACCACTCGAGCGACCGATCAAGTGATGACGAAATCGTGTATCAATTAAACGATTGAAATCTTTTTTGCATTCATTTGTATAATAACTTATTTTTTAATAACAATAAACTAATCAAATAATTGATCACAAGTTGAAAATTTAACAAATATTGCTATAAATTATAATTACAATTAATTAATGTTTTAATCCTATTTGTCATTCAAGATCTCTCTTTCCTGCTTTTCTTTCTGTTGAGTTTATCGGAACAGTCGGGACAATACCACTTGCCTTTCGGCGGTTGGGTTATATCAACGCAGCCGTAATGAAACCATTCCTTTTGGCACTGAAAGGACAAAACAATCAAATGATATGTATATGAGAGGTATGTATGGTATGTTTGAACGCACGTCTTCGTTATCACAGGCAACCATATCTCCGTACGAGACCTGATTGCAAATGCAATATCGGGGCTCATTCGGGTCGAGCGTCCATTCGGGCGCTCCGTTATTATCGCTGACCGCTTCGGACGAGTTGTCTTCAAACATGTTTGAGTTATTGATGGAAATGTGGGAATTGGAGGAATCAGTGCCGTAATGACTAGTTCTGCTCCGTTTGTTCGGGCGATTCGTTTTGTTTATATTAGAGTCATAGCTATAGCCTAACGATGCGTTTGAACGGTTCAATAGATCCGGATGTGAGTTAGAGGTGTCGTTAGGCGAGTGCTCTCTCAATGTATTGAAGCCGTAAACGCTGGGAAACCCCGAATTGATGGCCTCATAACTGGCCTTCAAACTGGCCGTTCGTCTTCCCATTTGCATCTGTTTTAAGCCAACATTTTTATCAATCACTTAATCCATATGAGGACAAGAAATAGTGATGAGCAAAAAGTTTTTGACTTTTGACCCCCGGATTATGGAAAAATAGACTGTAATCTGTGCCCACAATACTAAGCATTTGATCAAGTGGTCAGCCCGTAGACCACTACAAGTACCGATCAACCCCTACCCCTTTGATTACCCCTGTGTTGATACTTATATAGATTATAGCCCTGTGTTGAACCTGAGTAACTTTGCTCTTCACTTTGGTTAGAATGCATACCTGTTGTGTTAGGGCAATGGCCTGAGAGGCGGCGGTGGCGAGGGCTGTGTTGCCTAAGTTACACCTAAACGAGCCGTGAGGTAGAGTGGAGTTAGGACTGCCCTTATCCGCGGCACTCATCGACGCATTGGATGGTATGAGCGATGAATTGGTGGTCGAGTTATTGCCGTTCGGATAACTATTATTATTGTTGGCGTTTACGACCGCTAGGAGTGGTGTGAAAGCGTTTGAATTGAGACGATTGCTAGTGATGTTGGAACTGGTGATCATTCCCGACCCGCC